CGGGCGCCACTACCAAGAAGGCCCTCTGCCTGGTTCTCTGTAACCTCACTTCTCACAGTGATGGAACCCCCAGAAGGCCCTCGGTGCTGGACCTCAGTGTCTGGGCTGAACGACGGGGGTGGAGACACTCTTTCAGGTATACTGGGCCGATGCCATTTAAGGCTTTAAAGGTCAGCACCAACACTTTGAATTGTGCTCGGAAACCCTTGGGTTTCAGACAGTGCATGGGCAGATGAGGCTAAAAAGCCCAGGACACAAATTTTCACGGCCCTCTTAGTGGCTATGGTGGGTCATTTACCAGAAGTCATGTATTTAAAGTTAGCTCTGGGAATGTATGCTCGATTCTGACCCAACTAAGCCTCCTGGTGTTTATTGTGCTCTAGGAGGCCTAGTTCGGTCAGAATCAAGTATACACTTCCAGAGTGGGTCACGTGACTCACCTGGAAGTGCATCCCGGAAGACACGCATCCCAGTTTTGCACCAGGACATGTTGGAGTGTATGGCTTAGCATGTGGTGCCATGTTCAATCTCTGGCCTTTCCAGGTAAGACTAAGAAAGTGTCTGGTAAGTGCCACCTGGCAGTCAGTGTAGACCAGGAGTGTGGACCCTGTGGCCTTCCAGATGTTCTTGAACTCCAGCTCCCATTGTCTTTTATTACATTTGTGCACTGCCTACTCCAGGGTGCCCTCCAGATATTTTGGACTACAGCCGTTGCCCCTGAGCACCAGCCTTGCTGGCTGAGGCTGATGGGATTTGTAGTCCAAAACATTGGAAGAGCACCACCATTAGCCACCACAGGCCTACAATGGAGCCTCTGGGAGACTTATACAGCACGTAATTAAAAGTACATGAATACAATTGCCATAAGAATGTCAGTAACCCACCCCTCCACTATATAAAACTGCACATTAGCAGGCCCTGCTGGTCAAGACTGGAGAGTCCCCAGTTCTCCACCTCTGGTGTAGCCAGTATTGAGCTAGGTGGTTTCATGGCCTCATTTGGTATGATAGCTTCTTATATTCCTGGAGTTAGTATGGTGTAGTGGTTAAGAGCGGTAGTCTTGTAATCTGGTGAACTGGGTTCGCTTCCCCGCTCCTCCACATGCAGCTGCTGGGTGACCTTGGGCTAGTCACACTTCTCTGAAGTCTCTCAGCCTCACTCACCTCACAGAGTGTTTGTTGTGGGGGAGGAAGGGAAAGGAGAATGTTAGCTGCTTTGAGACTCCTTTGGGTAGTAATAATGCGGGATATCAAATCCAAATTCTTCTTCTTCTACTACTATTTAAACGTTACATGATTTCTCTTCTGGCTTTGTATTTCTTTCTTTCTTTCCTCGTCCCTCTTGTCGGTGTTCCTTCCAGAGTGCCTGGCAGTAATTGGGAAGCACAATTTTCCGCCAGATGAACCCCCCTCCCCCGCAGACCCCCTTGTTATTCTCCCCTCGGCCTGACGTGTTAAGCTGATTTGGGTGGGTGGGTGGAGATGTAATTGCAGCCTGCATCTGGAACCCTTTTGAGAAGGTGTGGATGTGTCAACAAGAAATGTGCCATATTTGATCAATTATTCCACTAATTAACTCCAGCCTTTGTGTCTGTTCCATGGCAGAAGAGCGGCTCACATGGCCTCTTTTAACTACTATTTGGCCACGGTGACCATTAATTGGAGGGGGTCAAGGAAGAAAGGAGAGGAACCAATGTTAGCATGGACTGCATTGTGCTGGAGGAACTTTGCACCCAGCTACTTCAGAGGTGAGGAACCCTCCAGATGTTGTCAGACTCTAACTACCATCATCCCTGGCCAGGTCAGGATGGATGGGAGTTGTAGTCCAGGAACAGTTTCTCCATACCTATGCTACAGCTTCCAGATCCACCATCAGTCAGCACCAGCAGAGAAGCACTGGCAGATTCAGGTTCCTATTTGAATTTAATCGCAGATGTAATATAGCTTAACAGGGATGTGGGTGGCAGTGGCGTAGCGTGGGGGGTGCAGGGGGTGCTGGCCGCACCGGGCACAACATCTGGGGGGGGCGCTCGCACTCGCAGCTCTCTGCCCCTACCTGGCTCACTCACTCTCTCTCACTGCAGTGCTGGCTGTGCGAATCCGATCCGAGCCGCTGGGTCGCCACCCACTGTGGAGGGGGTGGGTGCCAGGCGTGCGGTGCGAAGAGAGAGTGAGGGACTATCTGGGGGAGGGACAGTGCAGCGGCCGCCCAGCGCAGCGCTGAGCATGGGAGAGAACCACACCAGACCAGCCCAGGCAGCAGCAAGAAGAAACTGGCAGCGGCGGCAGGTTAGGGGTTAGGGGGTGCAAATTACTTGCCTTGCCCCGGGTTAGGGGGCGTAAATTACTTGCCTTGCCCCGGGTTAGGGGGCACAAATTACTTGCCTTGCCCCGGGTTAGGGGGCGCAAATTACTTGCCTTGCCCCGGGTGCTGACAACCCACGCTACGCCGCTGGTGGGTGGCGCTGTGGGTTAAACCACAGAGCCTAGGACTTGCCTATCAGAAGATTGGCGGTTCGAATCCCCATGACGGGGTGAGCTCCTGTTGCTCAGTCCCTGCTCCTGCCAACTTAGCAGTTCAAAAGCATGTCAAAGTGCAAGTAGATAAATAGGTACCGCTCTGGTGGGAAGGTAAACGGCATTTCCGTGCACTGCTCTGGTTCGCCAGAAGCGGCTTAGTCATGCTGGCCACATGACCCGGAAGCTGTACACCGGCTCCCTCGACCAGTAAAGTGAGATGAGCGCCGCAAACCCAGAGTCGGCCATGACTGGACCTAATCGTCAGGGGTCCCTTTACCTAATATAGCTTAACATCTGCATGGTGCTTTCAAGGATTCAAAGTGCTTCTCACACAGTGTCTAATTACAACAATCCACTTAGAGAAGTTGGTCTTGCTCTCACCCCCATTTTGCAGATGGCAGGATGGAGGGAGAGAGAGAGAGAGAGAGAGAGAGAGAGAGAGAGAGAGGCTGGCTGGCCTTAAGGCCACTGTGCGAGTTGGTGTAGGGGTGAGATTCGAACTCAGGACTTGAATTGCAGCTCAGCTGCTATTCTGCACCGGCTTCCACAGATCTTCCTCTTGACTCTCTCCCCCCACCCCCACCCCGCAGCATATGTTGAAAGGCTTTGTGTTTCTTACTCATTCGCTGAATTCAATTTTGCAACTTTCCCCCAAGAAACCTGAGTCTACATTGGCCAGACGCTGGAGTTTCCATGACGAGATAGAAATTATTCTATTTGCACCAAATTAAGGAGTAGAACAAACTGTCGCCAGAACGTGCCTCCAGAGTCCAGGCTCCCTGTTGCATTTGCTACAGTAGTCTAATATGGCTACCTCCCCTGTGGAATTTGCTACTGCTTAAACAGCCACCATGAAGAACTTTAAGTGGAGAGTGTTGTTGAAATGTTGAGCGGGGAGGTATATGGCAGTAACATGGTGACATCCGTCAACTTGCAGGTTTGAGGCACGCTTTGGATACAGAACGTTGATGCAGTCTCAGCCCAAGCACAATTTTCTGGTTCTAATTTGCGGGTATAAACAGGAGGCACCTGAAGCAGCAGCACAATTTTCTGGCAGGCTTTGAAACAGCCGCTTCCAAGATTGGAAGGAGCTTAGAGGCAAGATCCCCAATTGTGCCCCAACGAAAGATGCAACGTGCCATCTTGGAGGCAGTGAGATGGAGAGTCATCTCTAATGGGGGTCCCCAAAGAAAACATGAACCTTGGCTAGGGATGGACAAATCTGTCCTATTTCCCTTTCTCTCCATTTCTTGGTTTTTTTCCCCCATTCTGAAGTTCAGTTCTCCCCACTTCCACATCAATTTGTGATTTTTTAAAAAAAAGTCTCTGTGAAAATTTCCCGGCATTTTAGTATGAATTTCTCCTAAAATACACAGTTTTGCCTAACATACCCATTTTTTTGCAAAGCAATTTCCCCATATGTAATGCATATTGTCACAAAGATACGAATTTTCTGCCCTAGTACAGTGGTACCTCGGGTTAAGTACTTAATTCGTTCCGGAGATCCGTACGTAACCTGAAACTGTTCTTAACCTGAAGCACCACTTTAGCTAATGGGGCCTCCAGCTGCCGCTGCACCGCTGGATCAGGATTTCTGTTCTCATCCTGAAGCAAAGTTCTTAACCTGAAGCAATATTTCTGGGTTAACGGAGTCTGTAACCTGAAGCATATGTAACCCGAGGTACCACTGTATATGCATTCTGGTACGCATCACTCGGCTAGAGAACTGCATTACAAAATGCAGAGAAGTGAGAATTTTGAAGGATGGCCGTGCATTATTATTATAATTAGTAGTAGTACTACTATTATTACTACTAGTAGTAGTAGTATACCGCCCTCCCCTCCAGAGGTGAAGGAAGGGTGGACGCTAGCAGCCACTGTCACCCCTGGGTGTATTCTAAGTAAGAAGGCAGGGAGGACGGGGTGGCTGGGGGCAGACTGAAGTTGGTGGGGCAGTGCCTCAATTGCCCAATTGCCCCCTTGGAGACAAGGGAGGAGGGGAGCAGTAGGAGCAGCTGGCCCTGTGAATCTGGTGGAACCTTAGCCCCCACCTCCTCCTCAGCTGCCTGTCCTGAGTCTGCAGTGCTTTCTGCCTCTCCTTCCTCTCTCTCACTCAAGCCTGTTGCTTGTTCAGCATCCAACCATTGTGTCCCCCCATTCTCTGACCTGTTCTGAGACTTCCAAAGGGGGTTCTCCAGCTAAAGCCTCCCACCACTCCTCATCATCCCTGACAACATGAGACTCTTCATCTCATGGTTGTGGGTTCAACCCCCATGTTGGGCAAAATATTCCCGCATTGTAGATGACCCTCATGGTCCCAAGTCTACAGTTATATGACTTTGCTATCTATGACTTTGCTTCTGCTGCCCCCTGCCCTTCTCATCACACAATCCTTGCCTCGTATAAAGTTGGCGTGGAGAACTTTGGGCCTGCAGGCCGAAAAAGGGAAGCAATTCTTCCTCATAGAATACATTTTGGTACGGCATAGCTCAGTCAGAAGAGCACGAGACTCATCATCTCAGGGTCATGGATTCGAGAGCCCCACATTGAGCCAAAGATTTCTGCATTGCAGGGGGTTGGACTAGGTGACCCTCGTGGTCCCTCCCAGCTCAACAATTATAGGATTCTACTTTCACTAACATCTTCATTCCTAGACACATTTCCCACTAATATATGCATTATTTGTAAACAGTAGTTGGTTGGAGAACTGTATCGCAAAATTCGGATACGTGTGAATTTTGGAGGTGTATTGCGTATTGGTTCTTATACTGCTTTTGGAAGGTGACAATTTGATAAATTTGGCTTTAAAGGTGAAGTGAATCCAATTTCTCCCTCTGTCCCTTCATGCTCCTAATTGGGCCAAGGATTACCAACTCTAGAAAACAAACCCCACAATACGAGGGTGTTATTACAGTGGTACCTCGGGTTAAGTACTTAATTCGTTCCGGAAGTCTGTTCTTAACCTGAAACTGTTCTTAACCTGAAGCACCACTTTAGCTAATGGGGCCTTCCACTGCCACCATGCCGCCGGAGCACGATTTCTGTTCTCATCCTGAAGCAAAGTTCTTAACCCGAGGTACTATTTCTGGGTTAGCGGAGTCTGTAACCTGAAGCGTATGTAACCCGAGGTACCACTGTATCTGCTCCTTGCAAGTTCTTTTGCACGATGCTATGATGAAGTGGACCCTAGTCCACAGGAGCTCTGAATGTCATCGTGGAGCCTGGACACATTGAGCCTAATTCAAGAGTGCCTCTGTGCATGTACTGAGTGGTTCCACCCTTTCTTTTTCCCTGAGTGCAGCCTCACCCATTTGGGATTTTGGAAGCCTTCCAGACTAAGAAGACCTGATTCCCTAGCCAGACTTGCTCAGGGCCCCCATTGCTGTCTCCTTCTGGATATGTCAAAGCAGACTGTTTGAGGGGAAGAATCTGTCAGTGCTTTCAAAGAGTTGACAGGAAAAGGTGAACCCACATCTGACAATGTTCTCAGTCCCCACTTGTGACGGCTTTTCTTTGCTAATGACAGAAAATTGCTTTGTTGCCCAGGTTCTGGGGGAGGGCAAGTGATTGACAAGGGAAATAGCAGAGAGTCGTTCCCCCCACCCCACCCTACCCCCACTTTGCTAAGAGGCAAAGTGGAGTCCCTGGCAAGAGAAAGATCGGGGGGGGGGAGGTAGCAGAAGCAGACAAATCACGTTTCACCCCCATTCTGCTGAAAATAGAAACGGCACTTAGATGGTTCCAACTCCCTCCCTCCTTGTACTCCATCAGAGACAGATAGCGCCCTTAGATCTGAGCTATGTAAAAGTATGTTTCAAGTATCTGTATGGATGGAAGATGTTACCTGGGGCAGAATGCGACACCTCAAGAATCCCAGCTTGCCTTGACCCACCATGAACACTAAGCAATTTTCTAGAATGCATACTGCCTGGTTATGGTAGATCTCTCCCTCCCCCAATTATATTTTATTAAGTTTCAGCATTTTTTTACAGTTTGGCTATTCCTCTTATTTTGTTGACTTCCAACCCCTTTTCCCATGGAGTAGTTGTTTCTCCCCTTCTGCTGAACAATGTTATAATCTAATAATTTTAGTGGTTCATAGCTCAACTCCTGCTCACGAGTTCATCATATGATAATATTTCTTTAAATACTCCCCAAAAAGGCATCTATTCTTCCATAAAACACTCATCATTATATCCTCTTGATTTTACCAGTTCTGCATAGTCCATTGTCTTACAGTGGTACCTCAGGTTAAGAACTTAATTCGTTCTGGAGGTCCATTCTTAACCTGAAACTGTTCTTAACCTGAGGTACCACTTTAGCTAAAGGGGCCTCCTGCTGCTGCTGCGCTGCCGCCGTGTGAGTTCTGTTCTCATCCTGAAGCAAAGTTCTTAGCTCGAGGTACTATTTCTGGGTTAGCGGGGGTCTGTAACCTGAAGCGTCTGTAACCCGAGGTACCACTGTATTTATCCATGGTTGTTTTGTTGGAACTTCTTCCTCCTTCCATTTCTGGTACATCGTTCCTGCTTATGAATATCTTCTAGTCAGAGGATGGGAAAGATCTGTTGGGCAGGATGAATGGCTCTGTATTTTGAGCAAGGGTGTGTGTGTGTGTGTGTGTGTGTGTGTGTGTGACTAGTTGGCCTTTCTGGTTCTTTTCAGCCATTTTGGATACCATGATAGAAAAGGGAGGTGTATTTATTTATTTAAATAAATAAATAAAACAGAACATGGAATGCTGCATGTTCCTAGTCCTAGAGAGCCAGCATGGTGTAGTGGTTAAGAGCGGTAGACTCATAATCTGGTGAACCGGGTTCACTTCCCCGCTCCTCCACATGCAGCTGCTGGGTGACCCTGGGCTAGTCACACTTTTCTGAAGTCTCTCAGCCTCACTCACCTCCCAGGGTGATTGTTGTGGGGAAGGGAAAAGGAGATTGTTAGCCGCTTTGAGACTCCTTAAGGGGAGTGAAAGGCAGGATATCAAGTCCAAACTCCTCCTCCTCCTTATGTATGAAGGATAAAAAAAGAGAGAAGATACTAGCTTGTTCTGGAATCTAGAATAGGACTTGACATGTGCTACGTGCACAGCATACCTTTAAAGAATAGTTAAAGCACATTTCTTCTCCTCCCATGCACAAAAAATGAATCCTGGGAGTTAAAGTTCATTAAAGGTGCTGGGAAGTGTAGTTCTGTGAGGGGTAAATGACAGTCCCCCCCCATTTTTTTAAAAAAAATGATTTTCATACAATTTAACAAATTCAATTCAGTTTCAATACAATACAGTCGTACCTTGGAAGTCAAATGGAATCTGTTCGTCTTCCAAAACATTCGAAAACCAAAGTGCAGCTTCTGATTGGCTGCAGGAAGCTCCTGCAGCCAATCAGAAGCTGTGGAAGCCCCATCGGACATTCAGCTTCCAAAAATAGTTCACAAACCAGAAGACCCACTTCTGGGTTTGCGGTGTTCGGGTGCCAAAACGTTCTAGAACTAAGCTGTTCGAAAAGCAAGGTACGGCTGTATTCACTTAATGTTTTGATTTCCTATTCTTACTTCCATAATGTTTCTGTTCAAATCCTTTATCTACTGCCTTTAATGTACCGTACTGGACAGACTATAAGCGACACCTGCAAATAAGCTGCAGCTTTAAAAATCAAGGCATATTTGCGGGTGCGGCTTGCCTCCCGACACTACTACCCTGAACAGGGGACGGGGCTGCCAGCGTCAGCGCTGAGCACCCCACTCCCCCAGCTGGTGCCAGCACTCGGCTCCAAATATAAGCCACACTTTAACTTTTCACATTTGGAATCTGGAAAAAAAGTGTGGCTTATATTCGGGCCAATACGGTAATACTTATTGTTATAATGTATATCCTACATTACATTCCTTTATCATTTTCATCGCTTTGCTTATATTTCTAGTCTTGCCTTTGATTTCACTTGACTGTACTATTCCCTCAGATAGTTTAGGGAAGCTTTTAGTGTTTGACGGACTACTGTATTTTAATATTTTGTTGGAAGCCTCTAGCATGGTGCAGTGGTTAAGAGCGGTGGACTTGTAATCTGGTGAACCGGGTTCGCTTCCCCGCTCCTCCACATGCAGCTGCTGGGTGACCTTGGGCCAGTCACACTTCTCTGAAGTCTCTCAGCCCCACTCACCTCACAGAGTGTTTGTTGTGGGGGAGGAAGGAAAAGGAGAATGTTAGCCACTTTGAGACTCCTTCGGGTAGTGATAAAGCGGGATATCAAAACCAAACTCTTCTTCTTCTTCTTCAGAGTGGCTGGGGAAACCCAGCCAGATGGGCAGGCTATAAATAATAAATTATTATTATTATTATTATTATTAGACAGTAAATGACGCGGGTGGTGCTGTGGGTTAAACCACAGAGACTAGGACTTGCCAATCGGAAGGTTGGCGGTTCAAATCCCCGCGATGGGGTGAGCTCCCATTGCTTGGTCCCTCCTCCTGCCCACCTAGCAGTTCGAAAGCACGTCAAAGTGCAAGTAGATAAATAGGTACTGCTCCGGCGGGAAGGTAAACGGCGTTTCCGTGCGCTGCTCTGGTTCACCCAGAAGCGGCTTAGTCATGCTGGCCACACGACCCGGAAGCTGTATGCTGGCTTCCTTGGCCAATAAAGCGAGATGAGCGCCCAGAGTCGGTCATGACTGAACCTAATGACCAGGGGTCCCTTTACCTTTACTAAATGACAGTTCCAAGGATTTGGGCACGATGCATTCCCTTTCACCACTTGAGGTGAAACATGCCTGCCGCTGCTGTTTTCCCACCTGCTCTGCCGCCTCCGCTGCTGGCAGAGAAGGGAAACTGGCATCGGTGCCAATTTTGGCTGACATCTTGCAGAAGCCGTGTGAGATCTCGCGCATTCCGCCACATCCCACATGGTTTCAGACACGGTTTCAGCTGAGATGGGTGCTGCTTCCGCGCTGGCTGGGCTGCTGCCTTGCAGGCTCCTGCTGCCTGAAGCAGCCTCATCAGTCTGTCTAATAGCCAGCTCTGCAAGGATTCTTGGGGGAGGGCGATTCAACTGTGCTTCAAAAGTGTGGTGTGCAAGTTGTTTAGCATTGTGAAAGAGTGGGGCTTCCACACTCTTTCCCATGCACTGCGTCCACAATGTTTATCGGGCTGAAGGACTTTCTCTGGAACCTGTGGCTCAGGGCAGTAATTTACTCATCACCAAAAAAGAGGAAATGCATAATTAAAAAACACAGAGGACAAAAGAGGACATAGATTTCCTTATTATATGTATAGATGCACATTTAGAAATAATTCTTTTTTTAAAAAAAAAAGATATTTATTAAGAATTTTAAAATTACAGGAGAAACAAAGAAAGAAAGAAGGAAGAAACAAGGAAAAAACAAACAACAATCAAACAATACAAATCAATAAAAATCAAAAGCAAAAAACAAAAGCAAAACACATAACACATCAAAATCAAAAAACAAAGATAAACCACAAAAATTTAAAAACAGATCCAATATTCCCAAATCCTTAACTGTCATTACCTTATTTCATCGACCTCCTCACCCCTCCCTTTTTTGT